GACGCCATCCGCGCGTCAGGGCGCGGGGTTTGCAGGCCTCTTCCCTGCAGGGCTCACGCTGGGCCTTTGGGCGCGAGCGTGACCTACGCGCGGGCCCGGCCTGGCTGCCCCAGGGCGCAGGCGGCGCTGGTGGGCCGGCGGGAGCCCGCGGCCGGGCGCTCGGCCTCACCGGTGCCCGGCCCTGGTCCGCAGGTGTCTACGAGTGCAAGGACAAGCGCGAGGACGTCAAGTCGGAGGATGAGGACGGGCAGACCAAGCTCAAGCAGCGGCGGAGCCGCACCAACTTCACCTTGGAGCAGCTCAATGAGCTGGAGCGACTGTTCGACGAGACGCACTACCCCGACGCCTTCATGCGGGAGGAACTCAGCCAGCGTCTGGGCCTGTCGGAGGCGCGCGTGCAGGTAGGACCCGCGCTTCACAGCGGGCGCGGTGGGGCCGTGCGCCCGGGCTCTCCCGACACCCTGGGCCTCTGTGCACGGGCTGAGATGCCCTTCCCCTCTGCCCGGCTCCCTTCCCCTCCATTGTCCTCCCCTCCTTCCCGCCCCGCCGCAGGGCAGGAGGGCGTCGGATTAGCTGAGGCGCTGTCCCCATGGGACTTCGCCAGTAGCGTTTGAATTCGCGACGCCCCACCTGGCGTGTCACCGTCTGCGGGGGCCTTGGGCGTGTGCAGCACGTGCGCAGAGGGGACTCGCTGCAAGGCTGCAAGGCTTTCCTTTTCTTTGTAAAAAAAAAAAAAAAAAAAACCTATTCCTGTGTTTAAAGGGAGGGGTGGCTTCAGAACCGCTTGTGCAGGTTCTGGAGATCGGGCCTGGAACGGGTCCCACGGACCCCACGTCTCCCACGTTGAGAACAGGCCGAGGGTCACTAGCCCGCGCTCTGGAGACCGGTTCCGAAAATGGAATGAAAATAGGTGCCGGGAAGGGCCCAGTGGAAGCGCAGGGAATTGGCCAGAGAGGGGTTGGCACGTTGAATAACCAGCGCGCTGAAAAACTTTGCGCCCCGATTTAGTTTACGGAACAAAAATGCAGACCTGTTTCCGAGGTAGCACTTCACATAATCTTCGTTTGAAAAGATATGATTTTTATTCTCTCTCCTCCTTACCCCTGTCCATCTCACCGTGTCACTCACTGCATCAAAATGCCTACTGCTGGCTGCACACAGACACTTACTTCCCAGGCACTTTGTGGCTCTTCTCCTCAGAGGCAGCGGGGTTGGGGCGCCTTACGGGCCTGCGAGGGGCAGACCGGCCTCCCCTGTGGACCGTCGCTCAGAGAGCATGACTCTTAGCTCCTAGCATCTGCCTCTGCCTGGAGGGGAGAGCCCCCCCCCCGCCTCCCTCCATGGAAAATGGAAAAGGCAGCCCCAGATAAATTAATGACAAGATTAAACTTTTGCTGAAGGGGACATCAACTTTCATGTCATCTCCTTGTGTCTTCCTGTCTGGGATGTGTAATATCTCCCAGCCCTTGATGTACTGTTTCTATAAAAGTAAATTACTTGTAATTTAATTCTACACTATTTCTTTCCGTAGTCTATTATCAAGGTGCACCTTAGCAGGCCGCTTGGTGCAGAAAATTGGTTCTTGGGTGTCTGCACATCTGGGGGTGGCGGAGGGGGGAACGTTCTAAAATAAAAAATAAAAGAGAAGGGTGGGGGTGCGAGTGAGGGGGTGAAGTGAGGGTCTATCGATCCAGAGGTGAATGAAAATTGAAGGGCTGTAAATAATAATAAAACCAACCACGGGGCTAGTAAGAAGGAATTTTCTGCTGGTCACAAGGAACAGAAATGTCACGTAATGCAATGAAGGAGGCTGGAAGGCTTCAAAATATCAATTAGTTAAAACTCATCTGTGGCAGGGGTTGAAGCATTTCCAAGCAGAATACGGTCTGTCCTTCCCTGTCGCGTCCGGTGGCTGGCTTAGCCTCGCTCGGTACAGCCTGTCCCTTGCTGTTAGAGGATATAGTTTCAATTTCGTGTGGAAATTTGCTGTAAGTAAATTGGGGCGCCTATGGAAACTGGTCCTTATTAACCTTTTATTTTTAGTGCTGGACTCTTAAGTCCTATCACCCAGCTGTCAGCCTCATAATGGAAAGTTATGAGCCTACGGTGACTAGCAAGCAGTAATTTCATTACGACAGATATCTTTGGGTTTACGGCGTAGAGCTAAATTAAATGTCATTATTCACTGTCTGTAATGGAAATCAAAAGGAAATCGGATTAGGCCGTTTGCGCAAGAAATCGCGGCCTGATGCTTAATGAAGAAGTAACTGTCTAAACCAGTGTAGTGAGCTTTACTTAGCATATTCCGGACTAATTGGAATTGATCGAGACTCACCCCGACTCTGATTTACTGTCGCTGAATGCAGCGGCTATTTCATCACTTTTATTTTTTATAATTTTTTTCCCTACCCCCTCCCGGGCCCCTCTCCTGAAGTGAAAGTGAACGTCCCTTTTCCAGATTTAAATAGGATCCAGCTTCAGGAAAATACAAACAAACAAACAGAAAGTGTCCTTTCCCAAGCACTTTCGCCTGACCTTGACTGCTTTCCTCCCGAGGAGGCTAGATACCCCACCCAGAACGTCAGAGGGGCGCGGGTCCTGGAGGGGTCCCCGAGGACAGGAAATGGAAGCCAAATCCTTGGGAATGGAGAGCAAGGGTTGGAGAAGTCTCAACTTCAGTGGGCAGGGGTTTATTTTCGCAAGTGCTTTTCCTGCGGGGGGTGGAACACGGTGTACGTTTCCCGGCTCCCTGCATAGTGGCCGGATGAACTTGCCCGCGGGCCAGGCAGAGAGGGTTCCGACAGGCAGGGCAGGGGCACGCCGTGGGCAGCCCTCTAGGGAAGGAAATGGCCCCCTGACAGCCTGGAACTGAAAAGCGCGCGTTGGGCTTCTTAGCCTCTGGAGTTTTTGAGTGTTTCCAACCTCCTAGGGTCGGCTGAGGGTTCTCTGCGCAGGGGGATAGGGGGCACCAGCCGGGCCGGCGCGCGAAGCAGAGCGCGCGCAATGCACGCGTCCAGCCCCGGAAGAGCCCGGAGCGACCTGCGTAGCTGGCGCCCGCGAGACTTTGTGCTCGGTTTGCGCGTGTTCAGGGACTTCCACCGCGCCCCCGGAGCGCCTGCAGGGAAAGATGCGGACAAACCGGTTAGGAGAAAGTAGCCGGTATCACCCTCCAAGGTGGGGAGGCGTCCTTTGGGGCCCTGAGTGCCAGGATGTTCACCACCACGGCTGTTTGGAGGGCGAAGGGGGTGTGAGCGTGGGGAGCCGGCACGGGGTATTCCCCTATGCCCTTCTTGACACCCCAGAGTGCCACCTACCTCTTGAGCCCGAACTCTTGACAGCATCCCAAGGCCCGAAGGGCTGCAAATCCTGCAGTCTCGGGGTGAACTTGATCTTTGCGGCTCCAGGACGTTCGGGGCTGTTGTCATGTCGATGAAGACCACCACGTGGGCTTCCTGCTTGGAGCCGACCAGGGAGGCAGTGTGTGTACAGGTTGGGTTCCCATCTGTACCCACCTGCGTCCCTCTCTCTCGTTGCTGAACCGCGAGGGTAGAAAGCCAAGTCCTGGCACAGGGTGGCCAGGGGTGAAAGCCCACCCAGAACGCTGCAGACCCAGGGAGTCCCCCCTGCACCCTGGTCCCAGCACGCGTACCCTGACTCAATAGGTGCAGGGGTGTAAAAGTGTTTATAGAGTGGCAACACCCAAGACAAGTTAGCACTGGAAGCCAGAGCAGGGCTGAGTTTGACAGACCCCAGGCCTAGGTAGCCAGTTACGGCGGGGTTGGGGCGGCCGGGGTGTTGGAGGGTCGGGTGCCCCTGCCCCCACCCCAGTGGCTCCGCTCCAGCCCCTCCCCCGAGGCAGAGTGCGGGACTCTCAGGGCTGACGGTGACCCCTCCACCCACAGGTGTGGTTCCAGAACAGGAGGGCCAAGTGCAGGAAACAGGAAAATCAGATGCACAAAGGTGGGGTGCCAGGGGGTGCGTGGGGAGGCCCGGGAGGTGCTGGTGGGGGTGCTAGGGGGGTGCATGGGGAGGCCCGGGAGGTGCTAGGGAGGCTGAGGAGGTGCTGGGGTGGGCAAGGGGACGGTGGGTTCCATGGGGAGGTGGGGTAGGTGCTGGTGGTGCCGGAGGGCTAGGGGGTTGCATGGGGAGGCCTCGGAGGGACAACAGAAGGCTAGTGTGCTGCTTGGGCCGGCGGAGGAGGAGCTGGGGACCAAGGAGAAGGTGGGGAGAGGGGTCATAAGGAGCTGAGTAGGTTGTGAAGGGAACAGGGCGGTTGGGGGAGGTGGCTGGGAGGACCTGGGCTGTGGAGGTTGTGGGCGAAGCTGCGATCATTCTGCCCTCCGTGTTTCTCTGCAGGCGTCATCCTGGGCACCGCCAGCCACCTGGACGCCTGCAGGGTGGCCCCCTACGTGAACATGGGGGCGCTAAGGATGCCTTTCCAGCAGGTAGCGCGTTTTCCTTCCTTCCGACCCACGCGGGCGCGCCGCCTCGCCCCCACCTCCTCGGCGGGCTCCTCCGCCCCCCCCCCCGCCCACTCCCGGGCTCGCCCCCTGAAGAAAGGCCACCGCTTTTACAAGCGGGCATTTAGAGCCGCGTTGGCACGTATTAAAATCACGCTGTAAAACTCCAAAAGTCACCTCTGGGAGGGTAGAAACACAAACTCAAACAAAATCTTACAAAATTTGGAGCGCAGACAGAAAATCCCACCCACCCGCGAACCACCCACTCCGCCGCCGGCTGAGCGGAGGAGGGACGCCCGCCTGGATGTGAGGGCCACTCCGCGCACTCCTTCTGCGCCTGGCCTCACCTTGCGGCTGGGAGTCGGTGGCCTCGGGGCCCAGCCCAGAGCCCAGGCCTGCAGGCGCCGCAGGGCGTGGGGTCCCCCACGTGGACGTGGGGTGGCCAGCCAGCGGGAAGAGTTTCAGGACAAAGAAGGGATGCCTGCGAGACTGACACCTCTCAGTCAGGCCCAGACGCGGTGCGCACTTAAGCTCAGATGGGGGCCGGAAACTGAGTGTCTGGGCTCTGATTTAGACCCCCCACTTCAGGAGGGGGGCGAGGGCCGATACCAGAACCGAGAGGTGTGCTTCGGCCTTTCGGGGGTGGTCTCCGCTCGCAGCCCTTTCACTCCGAGGACCACGCCTGGCTTATACTTGGACCCCCGGTGCCCCATTTGCCGCTCCGCGGCCTGGGTGGGTGGGCTACGTTTTGAGGGTCCAGGCAGACACCCAGGAGATGGAGCCCGGAACCAGGACGCGCGGTGCTGTAGGCAGAAGAGCGATGCAGGGACCCCAGTGCGGGCCCCCCACCCTCAGATTCGGGGGGGCTGGAGCCGAATCCTTAGAACAGGGCCCCTTTCTGGAACTGGACGTCCGTCGGGCCACAGATGTCTGCTGTCCCACGTGGCAGCTGTAGGAGCTCCCAGAACCCGCGGGCCTTCGAGTCAAGGAAAAGGGACCTGGACCCCGGAGTTGGGGGACCTGGGCCGAAGGCCAGATTCCCAGATGGGATCTCTCCAAAGAGTCCAACAAAGCGACCCCAGGGTCCATCCTGATTTGCAGGGAATATGGGGGTGTGTGACGGGGGCTTTAGGATCTCCCAGGTCCAGCGCGGACCAAAGCCCGCAGAGGGTTCACCAGGGTGTCCAGCGAGCAGCGCCGGTCCCCCAGAAGGAGGAGAGTAGGAGGGGTCCCGCAGGATGTGCTGCCAGCCCCCTAACACCGCGCTCGCTCCCCTCACTCTCCCACAGGTCCAGGCGCAGCTGCAACTAGAAGGCGTGGCCCACGCGCACCCCCACCTGCACCCGCACCTGGCGGCCCACGCGCCCTACCTCATGTTCCCGCCGCCCCCCTTCGGGCTGCCCATCGCCTCGCTGGCCGAGTCGGCCTCGGCCGCCGCTGTGGTGGCCGCCGCGGCCAAGAGTAACAGTAAGAACTCCAGTATCGCCGACCTGCGGCTGAAAGCGCGCAAACACGCCGAAGCCCTGGGGCTCTGACCGCCCCTGGGCCTGGCCCCGAGCTCCGTCCTGCACACGACCCCCACCAGCCGCCTCCCGCCCGACGGACGTCCCGGAGCCAGAGCGCTGCCGCCTTCCCGCCCCGGGCACCCGCGGACCTCCCGGAAGGGCACGCGCGGACCCCCAAACCCTTCTGGGACTGTGCAGAGGGCAGCAGGGCCCCCCAGAGCCTGGAGGATGGTGTGCGTCCTGGACTCGCCGCGGCCGCCATCCTCTGCCGTCGGCGCCTTTGTTCCCCTGCATGTGGCCTCCGATCCACGTCCTGAAGCTCACCGAGTAAATTAGATGAAAGATCCCCGGGGCTGGTCTCCACTCAAGACGACCTTTGTTGACCTTGGTGTTGTGTCCCTGGCACGACTTTGCTACAGGACGCGTGCGGATTTCAACGTGGACTTTGAGCTCCGGGCCTGCGCTGCCCTCTACACCCCACCGCGCCCCGAGGCAGCAGGAACCCAGCGCATCTGCCCCGGAGGCTAGAGACCTGGCTGCGGGCAGCGGGAGGGGCAGAAGGAGCGGAAATTGGAGTCCTGACCGCTGGGGGGACCTGGATTTGGGCAGGTCTTAAATGCACGAGTGCGCGCGCGTGCCTCCAGAGCACCAGCCCAGCTGAGATTCCGTGTGCCATAGAACAGGCCACTTTATAACTTGTTTGATTTCCGAGTTGCCGATTTTTGCTGTTTTCTCACAATTCAGAAGCAAGCAATTTGCTTACAAAGTTGGACGCGCGGCTGGACGTAGAGCATTTAGCCGGAGTAACTTTGGTGAAATGCAATGAGGATTTTGGTCAAGTGCAATACTGTAAATTTATAGATTTTAAGAGGAAAGGCCGCACACCCTGCGTGGGTCCACTCCCGGCTCCCCGGGCCCTGCTGGGTAGTGGCTGGCGTGGTGTGGTGTCAGGGTGCTCTGAACAAGGTTGGTGTGATGTGTGCTGCATGAGGTATGTGAGAACGCGTGTTAGAATGGAAGGGGTCATTGTGCGAGG